AGTATACAATATACAAAATTGGTTAATCAATGGTTTATGTTATTGCTAAAGCTTTCAGTCAACAGCAGGTTATTAGTAATTAAGTTTTTTGAGAGTCAAGGTTATATGTGAATTTTGAACAGTGCAAGGGTCATCCCTAGACCCCATGTTGTCTAATGGTCAACTATATATTAGTTCTTAATTCTTTAAATGGAAAACTGAGTAAAAAGCTCAAAAGCTTATTGGGAGCAATGGAGGAGCAGGAGTTGAATGTGGAGGAATTTTTATAGGGAATTGATTGGTCTCTTTATTTTGAGAAAACAAGTGCAGCATCTAAATATTCCATTTTACTCTTTTTGGCCAAGCGTTCCTCTGGGGAGGATGCTTTACATTGAGCCAAGAATGTAGGGCTAGTGGCCACAGAGGTAGTGAAAGAAGCTTTCTGGTAGCATTCTGGGAGCTAGTAGATTTGGATTTCTGAGAAGCCCCACTGTTCACAGTTCAAGCATCTTTTCTCATCCCCTGGAGTGCAATGTGCCGCAGGCCCAGATATTGTATGTTTCCATTTTTTAAGGGAATAAAGCCCCCATCTCCTGCCTAGGTAAAAAAGAGGAATTGCAATTCTGAATACTTTATAAGCAGACTTTGAATAAATTCATTAGTATTCATCCCATTTCTCACCTATGCATTTTGAGGTACCCACCTCATACAATTTCTGAACATTTACTGGGTCCTACAGTGTGAAACAGCTTCCTTTTCACTTACATCCTTCTTTGTAGTAGACATCAAAGTATCTAATTTTTTGTTTCATGACTCCATCCATTTCAAATTTCCAAATATTAACTGACATTATGAGTGCATTTTTCTCCTTTATAGTTCTTTGTATCATTAAGACTACATTTTGGTGGTGGTAGTGTTTTTATTTTAATAGTCAAAACACAGGGCAGTGTGTTAACAATGTGCTTAACCCATTTTGTTTGTTAAAACTGTCATCCAACCAGCTGAGTGAGCACTTGTGTTTCTTTGTTTTTTCCTTTTTTCCTTTCTTTTTTTTTCTCCTTTTCCGAATAGACAGGCTCACGCAGACAGTTCTCATTGTTAATTATTTAATATATATTCTATGTTGCAACATCCTATAGTCCTGGATTTACCTGGAAATTTACTGTTATTATTGAAACTATTACTGACCTTTGTTTATGAAACTCAATTCTGGGTTTTCTAAAGCTGTATACAATTTAAATTCTATTTATATGTAAATTAGATATAACTATATTGTGTAAAATTTTTAAACATATAAATAAAAGTATCAAATTAATAAATTTATTCACAAAGCATAAATATTTATAAAAATAATTCATTTATGAAACATAAAGCATAAACATTTTTACATAGAACACAGTAAAAAGAAGTGGATTTCAAACTTAATTAAAAAGTTATATTTAATGTTTTATGAGATCTGCCTTTTTTCTCTAATGATGCTCATTATTATATATTTATCAAGTTTTGAATACACCTTCTGTCCCTATATTTTGATGGCCAAATCTTTAAATTGCCAAAAATGATCAGGGTGTCCCTGACAATCTTCGTCAAATAGAAGTAAAGGTAGGTAGCAATTAAATTAAGTTTTCTAAATGAGTAGAAGAAAAAACCCTAATCTGTGAGTAAGTCATCTATGTTATTATATCTATATAGTAATATTTATAATTTCTGAAATAAATATAAATATAAAATTTTCTTGATTAAGATATCATAAACTTATTTGCTGCCTGTGTTTCAAGTAATTACTTCGACAGAATTTCTAACATTTCAAATTTTGTATATATGGATTTATTTGAATTTTTGAAAATTACGCAGACTACCTTTTTGCAGTGATCTACTGTGAATTAACATATCCTGAAAGTGTGAGAAAAATACAGACTGTTGAAAAGCTAACGCACTGTTATCTCGTTAAAGTAAAACTAAACCCACTGTCTCTTTAAATTATATTTGGAAATATTCTCATTTTGACAGTAACTGATAATTTTACTTTTTTTTTTAATGTCAGTATATCATTAAAGCAGCTATTAAGCCACTAATAGGCACTTAACATTGTGGTCGCTTATCATAAATAGCATTAACAGTTCTACAACTTTTTCTTGCAGGTCACTTAATACATCACATAAAATTAAATTAAGTATAATCACATTAAATAAAATTAAAATGGCAATAACTAAGTCCAACAGGTTCTGCATATGGACAGTATTAACAAAGCTTACAAATGACTTTTGAAGTCAGTGTTTAAGAGCTTAAATTCTACACACGTGATTATAATAATGTTTCTCAATTTTATCTTGCCCTGAATTGTTTAAAACTACAATTTGAATATGCTTGAGATATAATATTTTGATGAAATACATATCTAAAATTTAAAAGATTTAAATTAAATGACCACTACAAGCAAAACAGAAGAGTAGAAATTTAGTCCTCTCTTGTCTATACACCTATCAAGAGCTAGAGCAGTAGGAAATTATTTCTATCCTGGCATGAAGCTGCAGAAAATGTACTGCTGAGAGATGATTTTCCTTTGAATGCTGCAAGTCTATACTGTCCATTATAGTTACTGATGATATGTTTTCTCACTCAAAACACATACACATAAAATCCAGCTTTTTATATTGTCTCTAAAATTATCCTAATAGAAATGCTTCTTATTGCATCAAGTGAGCCACTATAATCTTCTAGAAATTATAAAAAAATCAATAGTTAAATTTGTATTGCATTTCCCTGTAAGTGTTCATCACTCATGGAACACATAACAAACATGCTAAAACAGATTTTGCTGCTTTGTATCTAATTTTATAAAATACAAGGTAAGTTATAGTTGGATTTTTGACCTCAAATATTGCATAAATAAAAATATTAGTTGGAACTGGTTATAAAACACTAATGAATATTAGCATTTAACTCAATTTTAACACATAGCAGCTACTTAAAAATATTTTATGTGTAAATAAATACATGAATTAGTACATGCTACGGTTAATTAATATTGAATAAGAGTCAGAAATTCAAGACCTATTTAGAAATCTATTAATATATAGTCTTAAAAATAAGCATCCCTGACTTAGCTTTATCGTAGGAAAACATAGGTAATTCCAAAGGAACAGTGTGGAAAAGTATAACGTTTCCTGAAGAGAAATAAAACAGTGCTTGTCTTTAGTAGAACGTGGTTTATAAAAACCTATAACATAGAGGTTGAGATAAAGAGCTTTGAATTCAAGTCAATTCACTTCACCTGGATTGTCATCATGGCCCTTGCCATCAGGTAAAACCCTGGGCAAGATTCTTCACCTCCCTAAAACTTATTTATTTGTAAAAATGGGAAAATGAGGTTTATATGAAAAGAGAATGTAGTATTTAAAAAAGAATTTACAGTATGTAACTTATAGTAGGTACACCATAAAATAAGCACTTTTATTATGTTTAGTACCTGTACTTAACAGGCATCACCAAGAGAAAGAAATTGATATTATCCTTGATGTGAAAAACTGCATATTTCACTGTGAAAACATGTAAAACAGGCAGTAATTAATTTACATTTTACCTCAAATAAGCAATTGCATCTGATTAGTTTATTTTTTAAATAAACTATGTTATGTTTATTTGAGGTTTACAACATGATGTTACTGAATCCATATAGATACTAAAAGAATACTGTTGTGAAGATTAACACACCTATCATCTGTCATAGGTTTTTTGTGACTAGAGCAGATAAACTCTACTTATTTAACAAAAATCTTAATACAATGTTATTAATTTTAGTCCTTATGTGGTACATTAGCTCTCTAGAATTGTTCATCCTATGTATCTGCTGTTTTGCATCCTTTGACATACATCTCCTTATCTCTTCTGTACCCCTAACCTTGGTAACTACTGTTTCATTCTCAGGGAGATCATGCAATAGTCTTTTCTGTGTCTGCTAATTTCACTTAGCATAATGTCCTCCAGGTACATCTGTTTAAAACTGAATAATATTCCACTGTATATATGTATATATTTTCTATATCCATTTGCCCATCATGGGCAATTAGGTTGTTTCTTTATTATGAATAATACTGCAATGAACATGGCAGTGCATATATTTTTATGAGATAGTAATTTCATCCAAAAGATTTTCCATTCAGGTCCAGAACAAGGCATGGATGTACACTCTCCCCACTTCTGTTTATCATAGTACTGGAAGTACTAGCATGAGCAATTAGACAAGAAAAGAAGAAAAGAAAAAACAAAAGGCATCAAATAGAAAAGAAAAAAGAAAAATTATGTTATGTTTCACTTAATGACAGGGATGTGTTCTGAGATATGTGTCATTAGGGGATTTCATCATGTGTGAACATCATAGAGTGTACATATACAAATCTAAATCTATAGCCCACTACACACCTAGGCTATATGTGATAGTCAATTTCTCCCAGGCTACAAACCTGTACAGCATGTTACTGTGTTACATACTGTAGGCAATTATAACACAATGTTAAATATTTGTGTTTCTAAACATAGCTGAATATTGAAAAGGTTCAGTAAAAATATGGTATAGAAGATTTAAAAATAGTATACCTGTATAGGACACTCAACATGAAAGCAGCTTACAGGACTGGAAGTTGAGTGGAAGGTGAATATGAAGGTCTAGAACAATACTCTACACCACAGTGTTGTTCCATGAACACTGTACACTTAGTATACATGAAATATATATATTTTTACTATATTTACTAATAAATTTACCTTAGCTTACTCTACCTTTTTAAACTTCTAAACTTTTGAATTCTTTAACTTTTTAATCTTTTATAATAACACTAAGATTAAAACACACAGACATCGTACAGCTACACATAAATATTTTCTTTATATCCTTATTCTACTATCTTTAATTACTTTATTTTATTTTTTTTACTTTTTAAATGTTTTTGTTAAAAACTAAGAAGCATACACATACATTAGCCTAGGCCCGCACAAAATCATAATTAACAATGTCTCTCTCTTCCATCTTTATATCTTGTCCCACCAGAAAGTCTTCAGGGATAATAACACACATGGCTTTGTCATCTTCTACAATAATGTCTTCTTCCGGAATACTTCCTGAAGGACCTACCTGAGGCTATTATACTGCTAACTTATTTTTTTAAGTAAGTCAAAGGAATACAGTTTAAAATAACAATAAAAGGTATAGTATGGTAAATACGTAAACCAGTAACATAGTCATTTATGGTTATTGCCAAGTATCTTTGTACAACTTGCAGCACAGTAGATTTGTTTCCATCAGCATGACCACAAACAAATGAGTAATAATGCCTTGTACTTATAATGTCATGATGGCTACGATGTCACTAGGCAACACGGATTTTTCTTTAGCTCTATGATATTCTTAAGGGACTACTATCATATATGGTCATGAAGAAAGTGCTAAGCAACACAATATTGTACTTTTATTAGTATATGGCATATCTATATGTAGAGAACCCTGAAGCCCTCATAAAATCTTTTAGAACTAATAAATAAATTCAGTAAAGTTACAAGATACAAAATCAACACACAAAAAGCAGTAGCATTTCTATACAAGTAATGACTCAGATGAAAAGGAAATCAACAAAACAAGCTCACTTATGATAGTGTAAAAATAACTAGTAATAAATTTTACCATGGAGGTGAAAGATTTGTACACTGAAAACTATAAAATATCAATGAAAGAAATTAAGACACAATTAATTAAGTTATTTCTTCATTAAAACTTTTTATTGCATGCACATCTATTTTCTATGCATGATAGTAGGCTCTGATAGCATAATATTATCAAAGAAAATCTTCATGTGTATGCAGTATACATGTATTCTCCCTTTAGGAAAAAAAAAAAAAAAAATGCTTGTTCTTTATGTCACTTATATTCTCTAGAGTTCCCTCATTTAATGTTAAAGTTTTGGAGAATGGCAAAATTTTTTATCTGGTTATAGAGTACTATACAACCCTATTATATTATTTACACAAATATATGTGTGTATATATGTATAAACAGCCTTGATCTTTAGGGAATAAGACATTATTAATAAACTCATTTATAATTTTCATGATGCTCACCTCTCTAGAATCTAAATATTCTCTTTAATTCATTAGTCCCAGAAACTGCAAGTCAATGTATATAGTGTAGTGCAAATCCAGTTTAACTGAACCTTTATTTGGAAGCATCATTTCTTATCATGTACTGTTATATGTAATTACTATAATACTTTTAGATTTAGATTGTATATACAAAATTAAATTACACCAGGGAATTTTTGAGGTTTTGTCAAATGTTTTTTTAAATTATTATGTTATTAGTTGTAGATGGATTTCAGCATGTCTCTTTAACAGTGGTTTCCACCTTTTTTTTTTTTTTTTTTTAGACAGTTTCACTTCTGTTGCCCAATCTGGGGTGCAATGGGGCGATCTAGACTCACTGCAACCTCTGCCTCTTGGGTTCAAGCAATTCTCTTGCCTCAGCCTCCAGAATAGCTAGGATTACAGGTCTTCACCACCACGCTAGACTAATTTTTTGTATTTTTAGTAGAAACTGGGTTTCACCATGTTAGCCTGGCTGGTCTTGAACTCCTGACCTCGGGTGATTTGCCCACCTCAGTCTCCCAAAGTGCAGGGATTACAAGTGTGGGCCACTGCGCCCGGCCCACCCTTTATTTTTATATGACTTTTAAAAATATTTGTATAAAGAAATCTGATCTTTTATCTATCTTAAAACAAATACCAGTATTTTCCCCTGAATTTTTAGGAAACTATTTTAGTTGCTTACGGGCTAGCTTTTATTATTTCTAAATTTTTACTTATGTTTGGAAATGACAAAATGTGTCTACTTATTCTTCAAAGCTCAAATGTTGTTACAACTTTTCTAATGCTGCTGCTTTTTTATTACTCTACTTACCCCAACTTTATATATTTATATGTAGATATATATGTACACACACATATGTAGTTTCAAATATGTCATAAAAATATCTAGCAAAATACGTATATACATTATATTTTGTTTAACATTAAACATATCACAAATAGCTCTAGTTTGAAGCCATTAGGAATGGTGGTGCTATTAACATTTTTGTATGTTCTTGATGCATATGCTTTTTACTTACAGAGTTATTCACATTACTAGATGTAAATATATGAGTAAGTTCAGCTTTAACATCTAATGCCAAACACAGAGAATTGGAAAACACCAAAAGAAAAGTGATTCACCTTGTATAAGAACTCCTCAGTAAAATTAATAGCTGACTTATCGCCAGAAACTATACAGATAAGAGGCAATGGGATAATATATTCGATGTACTAAAATAAAAAGACTCTTCCAAGAGTTTTATATCTGTCAAAATTATTCTTCAAAAGTAAAGTAGAAATTAAGATAGTGCTAGATAAACAAAGCTAGTAGAATTGGTACCAAGCCAAATTTCCCTAAAAGAAATATTAAAGGCTATTCTTCATGCTAAAATAAAAAGACACAAGATAGTAACTTGAAACCAGATAAAAAGATAAAGGATACTGGGAAAAGTAACTATGTATTTAACATTAAAATACAGTTTAGATTTTTATTTGTAATATTTTTCTCCTGATATGCAGCTTAATAGACAATGCATATAGCAATAATTATAAAGCTGTTGATGGGTTTATAATATATAAAGATGTAATCTATATGGTAATAATAGCTAAAAAGATGGGGGATGAAGATATATTGGAGCAAAGTTTTTGTGTAATTTAAAATTGAGTTAATTCAATAGAAAAGAAAACTCTATTTTATGGTGAGAAATTCAAACCTGCTGCAGAAATGTTCATAAGTAACAAATAAGACAAATGTTAATCACCAAGGCAATGGGAAAAATGTCTCTAGGGCATGTCCGAGACCTTCATGGCAGCCCTCCCCTCACAGGTCCAGAGGCCTAGCAGGAAAAAGTGGTTTCATGAGTTGTTCCCATGGCCTCTCGGCTGTGTGCAGCCTCAGGCATTAATACCCTGCATCCTAGCCACTCCAGCTGTGTCTAAAAGGGGCCAAGGGATAGCTTGGGCCATGGCTTCAGTAGGTGCAAGCCCCAAGCCTTGGCAGCTTCCATGTGATGTTGAGTCTGCAGGTACACAAAAGTCAAACATGGAGGTTTAGGAACCTCTGCCTAGATTTCAGAGGATGTATAGAAACACCTGGATGCCCAGGCCAAAGTTTGCTGCAGGGGTGCAGCCCTCATGGAGAAGTTTTGCCAGGGTAGTGCAGAAGGAAAATGTGGGGTCGGAGTCTCCACATAGAGTCCGCATTGGGGCACTACCTAGTGGAGCTGTGATCAGAGGTCCATGATCCTCCAGATCCCAGAATGGTAGATCCACCAATGGCTTGCACAGTGCACCTGGAAAAGTTGCAGACACTCAACAACAGCCTGTGACAACAACCAGGAGGTGGGACTGTACCCTGCAAAGCCACAGGTGTGACACTGCCTGAGGCCTTGGGAGCCCACCTCTTGCATCAACGTTGCCTCAATGTGAGACGTGGAGTCAAAGGAGATTATTTCAGAGCTTTAAGATTTAATTACTGTCTCATTGGATTTCAGACCTGAATAGAGCCTGTAACCCGTTTGTTTTGGCCAATTTATCTTATTTGGAATGGGTGTATTTACCAAATTCCTGTACTTCCATTGTATCTAGGAAGTAACTAACTTGCTTTTGATTTTACAGACTCATAGGCAGAAGGGACTTGTCTTGTCTCACATGAGACTTTGTACTTTGACTTTTGAGTTTACGCTGAAATGAGTTGAGATTTTGGGAAACTCTTGGAAAGACATAATTGTGTTTTGAAATGTGAGGATGTGAGTTTTGGGAGCGACCAAGGGCAGAATAATGTGTCAGGCTTTGTGACCCCCCGACCAAATCTCATCTTGTAGTTCTTCTAATCCCTACCTGTAATGGGAGAGGTCTGGTGGGAGGTAATTGAATCATGGAGATGGTTTCCACCATGCTTTTCTCATGATAGTGAGTGAGTTCTCATGAAATCTGATGAGGGGCCTTTTCCCTTTTCGCTCTGCACTTTTCTCTCCTGCTGTTATGTGAAAAAGGATGCGTTTTCTTCCCCTTCCACCATAATTGTAAGTGTCCCGAGGCTTTCCCAGTCATACAAAACTGTGAGTCAATAAACCTCTTTCCTTTATAAATTACCCAGTCTTGGCTATGTCCTTATAGCAGCATGAGATCGGACTAATACATATATGTACTCAGTAATGGGATTTCTTTATCATATGATAGTTCTTTGTTTCATTTTTTGAGGAACCTGCATAATGTTTTCTATAATGGCTATAATAATTTGCATTTCCATAAATAGGGTGTAAAAGAAAATTGATCAATTAATGAATAGAAAAAAGTAGAGATAACATCAATGAAACCTGAAATTGATTCTTTGAAACCATTCAAAAATTTGAAACCCCCACCTAGACTAAACAAGAAAATAAAGACAGAATCTGAAATTACTATAATCGGGAATGCAAGAAGTTTGCTAATGACATAATTAAAAAACATTCAGAAATCAAATGAACTATAAGGACATACTCTGAATAAGTGTATGCTAATAAATTAGATGATCTACATAAAATAAATGCATTTTGTGAAAGACAAAAACTACTGGGACAGACTCAAGAAGAAAAAGAAAACCTAAGTAGGCCTATAATAAATAGAGATTGAATTAGAAACCAAAATACATTCCCTGGATGAAAAATCTATGCTCATATGGTTTCATTAACAAAATCTACAGAGTGTTTAGAAAAAAGTTAACACTGATCCTTCAAAAACTCTTCCAAAATTATGAGAATTAGATATTATCAATGTCATCCCATGAGTCCAGTCAATCCTTAATATCAAAATGGCACTTCCTGCAATAACATTACAGGAAGAGAAAATTGCAGATGAAAAAATTCTTATGAGTATTAATTCAAAAGTCCTATAAAATACTAGAAAACCAAATATAGAAACATATGAAAGGATAATACACTATGGCAAAGTGGAATTGGTCAAGGAATGCAAGGGTAGTTCATTGTATGAAAATCAATCATTGTATTATGCCATCAAAATAAATTAAAATATATGGCCAGGCACGGTGGCTCATGCATGTAATCCCAGC